CAGGCTGTCAGGAAGCTGCCAACAGGCTGTCAGGAAGCTGCTATTAGGTGGTCAGGAAGCTGCAAAAAGGTGGACAGGAAGCTTCCAGCAGGCGAACAGGAAGCTGCAAAGGGCCAAGAAGCTGCCAACAGGCGGACAGGAAGCTGCCAACAGGTGGTCAGGAAGCTGCCGACAGGCGGTCAGGAAGCTGCAAAGAGGTGGACAGGAAGCTGCAAAAAGGCGGACAGGAAGCTGCCGACAGGCAGAGGAGTCATTATTCCCGTCTAGATTAAGCTGAAAGGGTTAAACAGCGCTGGAGGAGACGTCCCAGGTGTTGCTGTACCTGAAGGACTCATAGGGGACGAGGCCGGTGTTGGTGGGGTCGCTGAGGGCCAGAAACTCCCTGATCCGGCTGTGTTTGTCCTCCGGAAAGGAGCGCACTTTGCTGAGGATGATGTCTGCATTGGCTCTGGGAAACTGTGGATAAACACCAAGATGGCAGCATTTAGCGGCTGTGCAGCAAAGGGAGGCCTCCTGGGTGGGACGCACCGCGCCTACCTGCTGCTCATGCTGCTCCATGTAGCTCAGGGTGTGTTCGTCAGCATCCAGAAGCTGGAAGGTCACCCCTTTCAGGCAGACGGAGGCTCCGACGTACAGATCCTGGGCTGTGAGGTACTGGAAGGGCTCGCTCTTAAACAGCTCCTGGCCCGGTTTCAGAACCCGCCGACGCTCCAGAAACTTTCCTCCCAGTACACCTAGAGGAAGACCAACGACATTTCAGAACGCTGTTCCATGGATTATTAGCCTGCCGCTAACGCTTCAATCCTGTCTGATATGAATGGAACCTCTTTCTAAAGCCCTAGCATTCATCAACACACACTTTATTTCTATAGATCCAATTCACTTCATGTCACCTAAGGTTACTACATAGATCCAGATCAATCAGATCAGCAATCCTTTAAAGAGGCGGAGGTGGAGCCAACAATCATTTCCATGACAGGTTTCTGTTCTGTTCTGCTGAGGCCCACTGGAGGCTCAGAAAGGAAGGAACAAACATCCATGTTTCAGGAAACATCCACCATCGATTGTGTTGAAAGGAAACAAACAATAAAACGATGAAAGATGCTCAGAGTTTCAGTCCTGAAACCAGCATTTCTACCTGAGTTCTTCTGTGGCTTTTCAAACACGCTGATGGAGTCATCAGAGAGGTAGAAGGTGATGATGAACCTCCTCTCCGTGTCCACAGGGTCCGTGGTCACCATCTTGGCAAGGAAATTCAGCAGGTATCTGCTCAGGCCACATCTATGGTGACACAGAAACAGCAGAGCTAACAGGAACCTGGGGGGGGGGGGGGGGTCACACTAGAAGGAGCCAAAGTGAAGCGTGGAAGGAAACAAACTAAATCTGAAAAGTGCAGCGTGCCTTTTATTTTAAAGCCTTTAACTCTGATTCTTATGAAATAAAACATTTTGGAAACGTCCAGCTGGTTCAAAAAAACCCACAAACATGGAATCAGATCACGGCTTTCAACGGCCTAGTCAAAGTCCAGGCTTAGAATAACGGGACATTTAGGGTGAAGCTCTTCCTGAGACACGGCAGTGGCAGCATTATGCTCTCAGGGCTTCATTAATGTGAGCAGAAGCAGAAGCTGATAGTTGGATGAAGATCCTGGAGGAGTCGGATAAATCCAGAAAGGCGACAGTTAAAACCAAGCAGGAGACTTTCTGTTCCAGAAGCATCTCAGTCTGCGGAGGAAGACCTTTAGCTTTCCACACTTTTCAGATTTCAGTTGGAAATAGAAATATTTGTCTGTCTGCCATTAGGAAGCTGTTAAGCGGTGGTGATCAGGGTGTGAATACGATCACTCTAACCGTCTCGTTTCTCTGCTGCTTGGGGAACCTTTCTAACCTTTCTTCTTCCATGAACTTCTTCTTCTGGGGCCGTCGGCGCAGCAGGCCCTGGCAGGAGTTCAGGGAATCCTCCTCGGAGCCAAACCCATTGTAGGGGGGCACCGTCTGGGCTGGTTTGGGGGGCGGAGGGTCCTTGTACTGGAGGGGGGAGAAATCCTCTGAGAGAGAAAAGAGAAAACACTTGAAAGAAGGAAGGAAGGAACCCTGGAGGAGCGCTGCAACCACCAGAGGGAATCAGGTAATCCGTCCCTGATCTGACCTCTGACCTCTTTCAGTCAGACAGGGCCCTCCATCTCTGGGGGGGGGGGGGGCTGCGATTATTTTACTGCTGTGACTAAAGGAGCTGCTCCGAGCCGCAGAGACGTCCAGGGAAGGAAACCTCTCCTGGACGGCGCTGGACAGAGGAGCCTGAGGATCCAGTTTCTGGAGGACAGAGGTGCTGAACTCTGGTTCCAACATGTTCTGACCCTCGAACAACAGACACACAACACAAAACATATGGTCCCCCCCCCCCAGACATGGCGTGAGAGGCTGCTCTCAGGAAACAGACAGATGTGGACCGTGGCAGCTCCTGCAGAACCTGGGACTGACTGCCCCCAGGTGGTGAGGAGCAGTACTGCAGCAGGAAGCAGCAGGCTGTGTTCTGACCTACCTATGCCATATTTGGAGCGGTAGTAGTCCCTGGTGAATTCATCACAGTCAGTAATCACCACTCGTCTCCCCCAGATGTTCACTTCTGCTCCTATAGTCAGGTCCGAGTCTCTGTAGAACTCCTCGCTGACTAATCCTGCCTGCAGGGAGGAGACGGGCAGGAAGGATGGAGATCATCCATGTTTCAGAGGCGACTCCTCAGGTTCTCTCTACAGCTTCTATTCTGACTGAACACAGATCTGCTCTAAGATCAGCTGACCCTCAGAGAGTCATCCTGCAGTCAGCCCCCCCCCCTCACATTAGGAGTTTGGTTTGGACCTGGAGTCAGGGGTGGATTTAGGAAATGTGGGGCCCTAGGCAAAGACAGGCAGGGGGCCCTCTGAACAGCCCCATT